ATGTACGGCGAGTGCCTTTCCTCTCTCTCCCTCCTTGAGTCTGTCTCTCGTTCGCAGTCTCCGAGCGCAGGTATACATATATATACGTGAGTATAAATATAGAAGGCTGTTGGTGGAGAGGAAAGTGTAACGACTTGGATTGTGTCAGAGAGAAACGAAAGTGCTCTCGGGAATTGTTTGCTCGCACGACGCGGCTGTGGGTAATACGCTCTAACAGTGCGATTAATTTTTTTTTTTTTTTTTTTTTTCTGGATTTCATTTTACCCAAAGCTCTATTGTTTATAATGTATATATTCCGGGCGGGGCTCTCTTTGCGAGCGGACGATTACTGTCGTCGCTAATATAATTACGTGGCGCTTCGAGGAGAGAATCGTCGGGACATTGAAATTTCGTCGCCCCCTCCCTGATCTTGTTAGCTAATAACTCGCTGCGAGGAGGTTTGCGTCACTCGTGCGATTCTTCTTGGGCTTTTTTTCTTAGCGATTCGCGGAGTGTTGCGCTTTTAACGAATTAGAGTCGTTTTGAGTGGTTTGTTGTTTAACGATTCCGTTTTCATTTTTTTTTTTTTTTTTTTTTTTTTTTTTTTTTATTATGTAGCGTAATTGCACAATTGCCGGAATTGCACGCCCATAACGCTTTGCGCAACCAACTGACAAATGTGTAACGAGAGCGGCGTTTGCTAATCTTTCGATCGTTTTTTGGATAAAAAATGCTTTACGCTCGGTCGGAAATTGAATTCTGGAATTTCTCAATTTTCGTTGCGTCAAATATAGTCTTGGAAACTCGCGAGGTTTTCCTCAATACGTTTGAGCCGAAATGATGTGCCCATTGCGACAGTTTGGCGCTGAAAAATTTATTTGCCATTGATTTTCAGTTTATTGTGTGCTACATTCTCAAGAGAAAAAAAAAAAAAAAAAAAAAAAAAAAAAAACTCGTACGTCAATGTCAAAGTGCGACAGTGAAAAAATGGTTATTCAAAGCCACAAGATCCTTCACTACAAAATTTAGAGAATAGGTATCATCGGGTGGCACAAAAAGAGGGAGAGAAAAACGAATTACCGATGCATCGGACTGCAGTACCGGATCCGCGGAAAATTCGTCTGAGAGGTGTGAATAACACGTAGATTCTTCGTGTGCGTGCTTGTCGATTTATATCGCGATGAAATAGGTTTCATAACGTGATCGTCCAACTGTTATTTCCTTCACCTGAATTGTATAAAGTGAAAAAACTACAGACTTTTGTTTTTTTTTTTTTGTAAAAATCAGAGCAATAAAATAAAAGTGTACGTTGAATAAAAATTTTAACTGTCAAATAAAATACTTGAGTAACCTGTAAAAAATATTCGCTTATAAAATGCACAATGTGGCACCAATTAATTTTTTCGTGGCAAAATGGTTACCTAATTACCGAGCACAAACAGAAAGGAAATTCGAAAGTGACAATCGATATATCGACGCTGATCTTAACGATCTAATAAAAGCGCCAGAGCACACATGGGTTGCCCGAATAGGCGGCGATTGAAAATTTCTCTTCTGTACAACGTGACGAAGAGCAACCTTCGATAAAATCAATAGACAGCCGCCATCGTTGCCCTGGAAAATTGTGCTTTCGCTATCGTTTGGCTCGTGGACGTATTAGTTCAGCTCAGCTACGGGTAATAAGCAATACAAAATTACACAAGTGCTAACAACTATCAAAGTAATTAGAAATCGAAATTCTGAGTTTCGATATTGACCTCCAATAACACGAGAGCATTGACGCCTTCAGCTTAAAAAGTTTCTTCGTATACTTTTTGTACTACCCCAGCATGTATCTATACTTTTTTTTGTCATTAATTTTTTTTATATTAGATTGAAGGGATCTGGTCAGGAAACGTAAATATGTACGTGTAAGGCCGAGACGGAGAATCAAAGAAAAAAAAAGAAAGTGGGATAAATGTACAAAAGAATTGAATAAAAAATTAGATCAAAGGCAGTGGACAAAAAGAGTGAAAGTTGGAACGAAAACAAAAGATGTGCTTCGAGGTTACTGGTAGCATGAAAGTGAGGAAAAAATGGCAACGAAAACAACAACAAGAAAACCATATCGTAACATTATTGACAATATTCTATCACCAGCCCCAAAGGAGGGAAAGATGGGAAATGTGAAAGTTATTGTTTTTTTGACGACGCCAGTAAAAATAAAAATCTGGCTAGCTTGTCACAACGTGCACGAGCGTCGTCATTATCTATGCTGATCCTACTCTATGGGGAGCGTGTGCTCACTTTGTATCAACAGCACCACTCCACGATTGATGTACCTATACGTTATATTTGAAAGGTGCCGTGAAAAAAAGTGAGCATGGCAGCAGTCACGTATGTTCAATCTAATCTTGAACAAAGGATTTATTGGGAGATAATTTGATTGAGATAACAGGAATAAAATGAAAGATAAAAAGAAGAAGGGATTTTTAAATATTTGTCAAAAAGTGAAACATCTGAAATGGAATAAGGGAAAGTACTTGCTTAGGGAGAAACGATCGAAAGATAACTGAGGAAGGGAAAAGGAGGAAGTGAGATGTAAAGGTAGTCTGAGTATGAGGTAAAAATATTTATAAAAAAAGTTTGAGAGTAAAAAAGGCAAAACGTGACGAAATAAATGAAAGAGAGTAATGAAACGGTGTCGAATCATAAGATACAACTTTTCGTCAGTTGGGCTGCAATGAAATTATTAATAAGCTATCAGTTGATAAGTCAAAAGAAATAAGGTGGTGAAAATAAAAAAATAAGTCGGTTTAAATAATAATAATAATAATAATAATAATAATAATAAAAGAAAGTACAAAGAAAAATTGGCTGAAATAATAGAAGAAAAATTTTTTTTAAAGTTTCACAAAAATAAAAGTGAAAAAAACTAGTTTGATAAGAACAGTGTGAGCGGGTAGAAAGTTGGAAGAACCTTGAATAAAAAAAAAAAAAACAAAAAGATGAATTCAGAAAAGTTACGGCAAAGAAAATGAATGCTGATAAATTTGCAGGCTAATGAAGAAGAATTATAAAAGCTTGCAAAAAAAGAGAAACACTTTGTGATGAAACTTTGGAAAAAAATGGAGAGAAAAAGATTTGTTGGTGAAAAATGAGAAACAGTTTTGAAGAAAAATAGGAAAATAGGATGAAGTGATAAAAACAATAAGAAAGTTCAAATTTAATAAAAAGCAAGAGAAAATAGGATTAAAAGCAATCATGTCTAATTTCAAGCAACAGTTGAAATGTTTGATTTGCAGTATTCATCTTCAAGTGTCAATTTTTATGATACAAAAAAATAAGACTCGAGACAAAAACAAACGTTTTTAACTTTAAAAAAAAAAAACTTTTTAAGTGCTTCAAAGTTTTTAATTTAAACAACTCTTGCATACCTTCTTTAGTAACTCTGTTTGACAAATACACCAGTTCCGGAGTGTAAATGTTTTTGGGAGACAGGACGATTGTCAAATGCGTTATCGAGCTGAGACGCCCGTTCGTTTGACTTGCGGTGTAAGGATTAAAAATTGAAATAAAGCTCGTGTCAACGGTGAATCTCACCCCCGCGCGAAAACTGGAAATGGCCCATTCGCCTGTTCAAAATCAACAATACAGGGATCCAGCTGCGACTGGTTCTCAGGCGGCTGAGCAAAGTGCCTTTGAAAAACAGTTTGGGAAGCTCGCATCGTCCTATCGCTTCCTTCGCGATCACAGTCATGCGTCTCGCTCCTTTGGGTATGGAGCCCATTGTCGAGAGATAAGGACCGCTATACTCTCACTTTTCTCACTCTCCCGGCCACGGGTGGATTAATTGTGTCAATGGTTACCTCGAACGAATGGCAAGCTCGCAAGCGAGGAGGGGAAAATAACATCCGACTCCTGAATGAGTTACTTTGGGTCGCTCGGATTTGTGCTTCGTCGAAAGCGAAAATGTGGATAAGAGCACGGGAATGGAGTACAAATGCGTGGCCTTCTGGTTGCTTTTTACAATCATTCATAAAAAAATCAAATCAATTAGCAATGCATTTCGCGGTGGATGTTGTTTCCAGACGCGCGCGCGTGTGTGGAATACAACTTTCACGAGTGCGGATTCGCTTTTTTTTTTTTTTTTTTTTTTTTTTATCAAAACGTTAAAAGGATTTCGTTTCCTAATAGACAAAACAGATAAGCTTTTGATTTCGTAAAAAATGCTTGAATGGGAAACAGATGCTGAGATATTTAATGGAAAAATATTACTGCCCCGGTATACTACAGATAATTGTGTTTCTATTGTATTAGAAGCTTAAAATTTTCCGTCGTGACGGACTTTTGCTCCTTTTTCGAGACCTGGACTGCAACATTTATCGCTTCAACGGCCATTTCACACAATTAGCAAGGCTCGCTTTTTTTTTTTTTTTTTTTTAATACAAAAAAAAACACTCATGCTTGGAATTCGCGATACAATGGCATACCGTGTCGAGAAAATTTAATCCTTGATACCATTTTATCTGCAAATCTGTACAAACACGATCGAGTCCGTGAGTCGAATCAACAATCGCGAGCAAATGAGCGCAAGTACGAGTATTAACGCCGCAAAACGAGGATTTACAAATTTTTCCCCCTAAAAGTTAAAATGATTCAAAGGTAAAAGCTCCATCCAAACGATGCATCTGAAATTCCTTGCTTCGCCGCAACTTCCCTGCGTAAATGTACCATTTGCCAACCTAACAACCTCCAATTAAACCAAAAGTCATCTCCCGACGAGTCGAAGGAGGGACCGGATGAACCCCCATCAGCGCCGATTCGTCCTTCCATCGCGCGATAACGAGTCGGCCTTTGCTCGGATGGAAAAAAAAAACATCCGCTCCTACCGTTGATACGCGCGCGTGAAAACACCATAAGCGCGGACCGGCGTGAAGTTTCATTTCCTTTTGCGCAAACGCCTCGACGCGAGAGAGATTTGCCATTCTATACGAAATCAACAAGTGTAAAGAGAAGAAAAAAAAAAAAAATAGACTCACGTCATGTATGCTCGGCGGGCAAAGGACGATCCTTGAACTGGTGCTGTTGCTGTCGCACTTTGACCCTCCTCATGTTTCCATAGCCAAGCTCGAGCTCCTCGTCATCCTCGTACTGCGCGATTTTTCTTCCACTGTGCCTCTTCTCGAGCGATTGTGTGTGTGTTTTCCGCCCAACTATATTGAAACGTCAATTGTCCCCAGGTCTCGCGGTGGTGGTGTTCGGATCTTTCGTTTCCCGGAACTAGCGGGGGATCCCTTTGATCGATGTGGCGCGAGACGGAGACGATTATGGGACTCGCTTCACCAGCACCCACTCCGAGGCCGCCTCTTCTTCCTGTTTGCGCATGAGAAAGGGGGGGGGGAAGAAAAAAGTCGCGACATTAGTGCATAATGCATATCGTGATTGCGACACGACTTAATTTATATACCACTACGGGTGCAATTTTTTTTTTCTTTTCGTCTTACGGTGTCGCCATTGTCAGGCTGCCGTGAAATATTGATTGTATGCTTTCAGCTCGTAAGTAATGAAGATTTTTTTTTTTTTTTGACGAAGGTTGTTTCTTTCCGAAACGCAGAAAAGCTATCACGGCTGGCAAGTTTGTTGAATAATTAAATTTTACGTGCTTATGCATTTTTTTTTTTTTTTTCAATTCTATTATATTACAAAAAGTTGCTTCCGAGTACCTAATGGATATGGTGCGAATCTACGTATATTCTACATAAATAATCATCAACATGAGCCCTTACACCATGTCACTGTAATCAATTTTTTTAGTTTTGTGGTACATACTTTTTTTGTAACTATTTTGTCCAAAATTTTTTCATCCGACTTTTCAACGAAAAGTATTGAGTAAAAAAAGCTCCGAGTGGAGTCACTGTTAAAAAAACACTCTTGCAATTTATACCAAAAGCTAAAATTTAACGGAATAAAACTTTATGACTATGGAAAGTGTACCCAGTAAAAACGTTTTGATCTTTTCCTTGGAGGTTGCATCAAGTTTTTCCTTCATGTCGTGGTAAAAATAATCGGGGAAACGACGGAAATATCAGTACAAACTGGTATACATGATCTTGCGATGTGTAAACGAAAATAAAATCCTAAAAACGCTGATGATTTCGTACGATTTTCGAAAGTCGAATATAATATATACGCGTATGCAAATCGACGAATAATTGAATATTATCCCTGAAATTGCGCCTCGAAAGATTCCGTGTGGAGATAAAATTTTTTTTTCTTTTCCCTCCGATTCTGTGAACGCGAAATTTACACTGGGTTTTCCACGTACTTTAATACAGCGATTTTCAACCTACGTATAGAGTGAAAAAAAAAAAACGTATTTAAACTTTTCTCACTCATGTAGCATGTACTCCGTGAAAAGTAAAAAATTGTTGTAAAAATGATCCAATTGAGCCTAACTTATTGTTTTTCCACAGTTTACAATGCATTGATCTGTATCGCTTGCGTGTATAAAAAAAGGGGCAGATGCAAGCTTTGTGGGTCAAAATTGAAAAAAATAAATAAATAAAGATAAGGTGCAGGATTGCAAAAATCGAACGGGACTGTATGAACGATGTAGACTAATTTTTTCAAGTATCACAAACAATTTAGACGTGTGGGTTACAATTTATTCTCGAGTAGTATATTATAGTGTTGGTATAAGAAAATTAATAAAAAAAACACGATTTTCCCCTTTGTTTCGTACACAGCATCGATATAACTTATTCTGCAATCAATAAATTGGAAAAACAATTGGGAACTTTAATTTTTAGTACCGATTATTTGGGGCACTTTAAAAAAAAAAAAAAAAACTAATTTTTTAGAGACCAGCAAGTATAAACGCACCGTGGGAAAATCAAAACGGGATCACGCAAGGGCGCATCATCCGCTGCACAATACGCTTAATTGCACCGGAAAAAGTGATTAGAGCAAATAGGTATCAACTATCCGACCGCGGCGCCTCGGCTCTCAATGCCATTTTTATCAACTTGAAAAAAAAAAAAAAAAATCATCCAAGCGCCAACGTCTCATTTACCGCAGGCAACCGACACAATTACTTGCAACCAACTTTTTTTTTTTTTTTTTCATACCTGACAAGCCAAAATAAAACCCCGTCCGCACGAAGGATACGGTCCGTGGAAGCGCACGCACGCACTTCGTAACTCCTTCGAGATTTATGCGGATCATTATATAAACTCGCTCACGCTTTTTTTTCCCTGATACCACGTCTACATAGCCACCGTCGTTTTACACACGCGTTATTCACGGACTTTCTAGCTGGAAGCTCGAGTACTGCCCAATAACGAGCGAACCATACTGGCTACACCCATAATACATACCATCACAAACGATTCGCGATCGAGGTCTCGCGAGAGGAAGGGAAAAAAAGCGAGTGCACGCGTACTCTTACGCAAGTGTCTTTTTTTATTTTTTTATTTCATTGACGTGTGGTGTAGAAAAGTAGTGCAAGAACATATGTACAGCGAAGAGGAAAGAAAGCGGTTGGACGCGCAAAAGTGACTCGTGGTCTTTTAGCCCGTGTTTTGACAGTCACGCACCAATTTTGTTTTGTTTTTTTTTCTTCCCCCTTTGACCCTCGTCGCCGCACCTCCACTCAAATGCTCCCGCGTGTATTATTTCTACACGCGCACAATACACATCATCCACGAAACTGGTATAATAGGTATACAACAAACTTTTGCGAGCCAGCGATTTGAAACAGCTTTCGCGCTACCCCGCGTTACGAAACTTACCGTGTGCGGCCGTGTGTCGGTGCGCGCGCTCGGCCCGCTCCTTACGTAAAAGCTCCCCCTTTTCTTCTCTGCACTTTTTCTTTTGTTCTTCGTCTTTTTTTTTTTTTTTTTTTTTTCCTCTCCAGTTCCAAGACGAAAGACAGCCAATAAACAAGCAAACAAAAACAAAAAACACCGGCTCCTTTCTCCGCTGCTTCGGCTCTGCACTCTTTTCCTTCTCGGCACACTCGGGGCGCGCAAGGGCTGTTCAAAGCAGCGCACTCCGGACAACCAAACAAGTACACGTCAAGGTCTCGTAGGAGCGCGAAATCTATGGGTTTTACGTAAAAATCGGCGCACCGTGTATTGGAAAAAAAAAAAAAAAAAAATCCCCGGAGCGAGGGACCGGCTCGCTCGTAGTGCGGGCGCGAGGGTATATATAATATACACGAGAGCGCGCGGCGCTCCCCCAAAATATACCAACGCGAGTGTGAATGCGCGAGCGGACTCGGTCTAACTGCGGCCCGTGGCTGAAAAGCCGCGCTCCGAGCCAACCGACGGATGGAGAGGTGGGGAACGGAGAGCGCGAGTGTTACGCGACCGGGTGTGGGACTGTTTCGCGGGGCCATCGGCCACCACCACCACCACCACCGCGAGCGTGGGGACTGCCACTGACACGCTATATACCTCTGTCTTGTTAACTTTTACTACCGCCACTTTTGCATGATTCTCCGTGTGTGCGTCGATATGGCTCTTTCTCCCTTTCGTTCGCGAGAGTGATCGCGTCTCGATTGAACTGCTGGTATACGTAGGTGGGCGCGTACGTGCGCCAAAATAATGGGCCTGTGGGTTATTTGGCCCTTGCGTTGTACTGATGTCCATTTAGAGCCGGACGACTAAGGGGAGAAAATGTGTAGATGTACCTTTGTGCGGCTCTGGTTGACCTTTTCGGAGATTATTGGGTTCGGATGTGCGGAGGGCTGGGTGCACTTGGCACGTTGCGCTAAGCAGTTTGAGAGAGGCTGATGATTCATTACGACGGGTTTCTTTGATCGGGTCTGGGGGAAGGAAAAAAAAGGGACAATGATCTTGGGAGAGTATATTCATTCGCTTGTGGACGTTTTTTTTTTTACCAGTGGTGAAAAATCGGTGATTCAGCGCTTTCGTTGTAAGGTCAACAGGAGCAAAGGTTTTTTTTTTTTTTTTTTTTTTTTTTAGAAAATTTATTTGTCCTGCTTAGAATCGCAACAATTAAAAAAAAGGAATACTAATTGTAACCATCGATTGTCTTAAATTTAAGAAGAAAAGCTCGCATGAATCATACTTCCGTTACTCATATCTCCGATGTTTGTCTTGAAAATTAGTCACCCGTCACAATGTACGCAATCAACTTTTATCATTAGTAATTATGTAAATGTTTATTGCATACAAAAATATCTAACCCACACCAATTATAAATAAAAAAAAATGTATGATAAAATGACTCGAAGCAATAAACCAGTCCATAATTAGTGAAGTCCATCATGCATTATTTTAATTCAACGTTGCGTTTAACTAAACCATCGCTGGTCCCTTCGGACGTACTTTATTTTATAAAAGACTAGAAAACACTGACCCATACCTTCATAAAATTTGTCGTTATGTGCAAAATTGTACCTTCACATCGAATTCTTCATCAAGGTAGCAACACGAGATTTCTCATGCCAAAGTTTACTCAACTTTGACGGTAAATCAAAATACACGCTCTTGAACATTGTTTGAATAGTATATTATATTGTTAATAAATCACTTAATAAACATTGTTGAAAAAAAAAGAGAAATTACATTATGTAACCTCAAATTTCATACATCCCCAATTCATTGATTTTGACTTGAGTCTGAAGTTAGTCTCAAGGTAAATTTTAAATACAATATGTAAAGACAGATTTATATTTACTACCCTTTTCTTTTTCTTGGCATAATTGACACTCTAATTCTTGTACGAAACCATAGCCTAATTAAAAATCATAGAAAACATATTTATTGTAGGAAATATAGACAGTTTCCAAAAAATGAATACCTCAGAAGAAGAATCGAAAAACCTTACAAGTGTCTCGTATATCATAATGAAAAAACTCTGTTTATTATTAAACATTCAAAGTGTAAGATCAGAACTAATTTTTATATACCATAGCCAACTTTCTCGAATCTATTGTCTTCCTCCTAAAAACCACATAGGTGTTTATCAATATTTGGGGATACATAGTCATGTAAGCTGAATTTACAGTCAGCATCCACAAGCAAACAATAAAATGAGTAATCCCTTGTGACTCACTTCAACAGCTGGTGGATGCGTCGAAACTCACCACCTTTTATTAAATACACGTGATTATGATCATCGTTACACCCATGAATCATTCCGCATAATGTGCCGTTTAAGTCGTGCAAAATAATACGTACAACGAACGAACGAATGAATTTTCAATGCAACTACTACGTTTCCTGATTCCGGAAGCTCGCATTTCTCATCATCACCATGTGCCGGTATATTATGTCTACAGCACAGCTAACGGCATGACAATTTTTTTTTTTTTTTTTTTTTTTTACATTTAGCACCTTCGTAGACCTTTGCAACGAAAGCGAGGTAATAGATATGCGTCCAAACCGCGACACCGCAAAACCATCATGATTGAATACAGCATTTTGTTACCTGCAAGAGGAGAGATGATCCTTGAGTTGAAATGGTCAGGGATCGGATGATTAACAGTGTCAACATTTATTTAGCTTTACCAGTTAGATTCTTGTATTGACGTTTTAATTGATGTATACTTACACTACAGACAGAACGAGCTTTTGAGAACTTTCCAAGTTATTTTAAGTGATGTTTGACGTTATGTATGAGATGTTATGAGCCTCCTCTGGTTGTTTCCAAACATTGCCACATTATGAGAATTTGCATAGAATAGAGCCGCTGACACTGAACTGATGGAGAGAACTACTTGTATCCAATCAATGATTCATTGATTTGATATATTGTATTGATGAAACAAAAAAGCAAGTAGTGGTCAACGTATTGCTTGTGTTCTACACTGGGAGAAAAAAAAATAATAAAAATTGTAGGGAAATTCCAGCAAGAATTATCATTCTGCACAGTAAATCGAAAGTAAGCTGGCAAAAAAGAAAAAAGTCATTTTTTTAAGTAGTAAAGATTATTGTTTTAATAATAAAAAGTAAAGTTTGAATAGTAAAAATTATGGTTATAATAATAAACCTTAAAAGGATCGGTTGATAAACTTTACTTTTAAAACCATAATTTTAATTGTTAAAAATATTAACTTTTCTTTTTTGATAGCTTACATACCGATTTACTGGACAGAATGGTGATTTTTGCTCGAATGTCCTTATAATTATTATTTTTTTTTTTCTCTCAGTGTATGTACCGAAAAACCGTAACTCCTAATACTAACAACAACACGGACCATTGCATTTTAGCTAGATGTCTTTCGATCCTATCTATGTTCGTATTAGGTAATTGTGCAATCTTTTACTTCTACTCATTTTGAAACTAAAAAACCTCGAATAAGTCGATTGCAATCAAAACCATCGTACGAGCAGTAAAAGCTCAATTCATTACATTATTGTCTATTCGAGCTGTAGCTAAATTATTAGTTCAAGTATCGAGTCAACTCACACTTGAAACCAAGATCCAACTTAGGCAGTGACTCAAGTTGTAGCTTCGATTACGGTCGTTACAGAAATTTGACAGCAGCTCGTACTGTGGCCACATGCATGTAGGTACCTCAATATCTTACGTTGGCTTGCCCAATGTCCGGTTTTGCACAATGACCGGGACTCCAAAATTTTACCCGAGTAATAACACACGGGTCGCGGTACACCTATCAAACTCTACCGGTTCTTGACAGTTGTTTGGTAGAAAGTTCGAGCAGCGCAAAAACGCGCATAATAAATGGCCGTCTCTCAACGGCAAGCTGCTCGGTATTTCAGTCTAGGAATTTTTTTTTTCTTTCCCCACAATGTCTGGAGCCATATAGCCGCGTTATTGAAAAAGTGACTGGAATCTGGTTTTTTTTTCTCGTCTCCCTACGACAAAGACATTGTTTCCGTCAACCCGAAATCTATGAGATGTTGCACCCATATAAAGTACTGATCAGTTTGGACATTATTTCACGGGGCAATTTTTCTTGTTACTTATCTCGTAAAGCCATTCTTCGCCATTTTAAAATCCATAACTTTTTTTAGCTTAAACGATATAGAAATATTATCAGAATCTGTGGACAACAATGTGCTCTATGTCCCTGCATCTTTTTCTCGCGGCTAGTATAATTTGATTAGCGTATTATCTTTCACATGAACATAATTGAATTTATGTAAAACACGTAAACAATTCATACAAGTGGCTTATCGTGTGATATTTTACTCTCAATGTATCCAAATGTAGTACAAATCGTTGTTCTACTGATTGCAATATGTAAACAAAATCTCGGATTTGCGTACAAAACATGCAGCGAACTCTCAGGTATATTATATGGCCCCAAGCGTATACATTACACCCGTGATTTAAGTCAATCATCTCTCGTCATTAAACCTCGTGAGAGAAAAATAATTTCGAGCTGGAGCACAACTCGTTATCCCTGGTATATTTATATGTACAGCTCTTGTGAGGTGCATGGTGCTGTTCCTCATCCACAACTCTCACTTGCAACGCAGCAATTACTCGTACACGCACTCACGAAATTGTCATACTCAACTACTTCCGTCTTTCTTACATATATACGTGGATCCGATACAGATTGCATATATATATTCATCTTGTTATCCACAAGTAGTATTATACCGGGTCCACTTACACTAAATTTTCGTATGTATCGTCTGGCTCTATAAAATCAGGAGAAAATTGCGGGTCCACGTGTACTTACGGCGTTACCCAAACACATGTGTANGGAGGTCTTTGATCTCTCCCTCCTTGCCATATCAGTACTCGGATACTACGCGGTGCGCGCGAATAATGTCATTTGATATATTTTTTTTTTCTTTTCTTTTCTTCTTCTCGAAGAAGGGCGCATTAAAATACTTCTCGGATCCCATTAGCCGTGAAATAGGATATATATACGTGAGCATTATTATATTCCTCTCACCTTACGTCTACAGAGCACACTCACATGGGTTGGCCGATCTCAAAGACCTTCGCGAACCACAAAGGAGTGGTGGGAGCTTGGTGGATGTATATAATATTATGTACATACAAACGTACAATGCAAGCACATGGGAACAGTTGCCCATGTGACAGTCACCGTGCACACCTTAAACCTCTCTTTATTTATTTATTTATTCTTTTAGTCATCGGTGTATTTATTTCTTCTTTTTTTTTTTTGCCTCTAAATTTTTCTGTGCTTACGTAATACATGTCCATCTCTTTCACAGCTGGTGTTTCTATTTTTGTTTCTAGGTTTATTTTTTTTTTTTAGACCAGCATCTCCTTTGTATGGATTTTCTGGTCCGTTGATAT